CCAGAGGGGTGGGGTGGAGGAGGAAGCTCTGCTCAGTGGCCCCAATTATCGTATGACCAGAGCACAACTCTTCCTCTCTTTCAGTGAACTAGAACATGGCAAGCCTGGCAGACATCATGACACTGTCTTTTCAGCCAGCACAACCAGCAACTAAGATACAAGGAAATCTCAAGCTCTCCATTGCTCGTGAACCCACTCCCAAACCTCTATCAAAACTCTGTTAATTATCACTACATTCAGATTGTTTTATTACTTGGTATCTCATGGGGCAGAAGAGGGTTAATAAAAGTGAACCTGAAAGGGGCCTGCACAGGCCTGCATCCCCTCCCCAGGAACCGCCCAAGCTCATCCCCTAGAAATAAATCAACATGGCCAAACTGGTATTAACCTGTTCTTCACACATGTGCAAACTGTTAAAACAGCAAACTGTTACTTCAACTCTAGCCTCATTATAATATAATTAAAATAAAATCAACATTAAGGTTTGCCCCCGCCCCCCTGTGTGTTTTTCTGTATGCATTTTGGGTAAAAGCATGCACAGAAAGAAACTAGTTATATAACCAATATATGTCAATCAAATGACCTCAGTCACATCTCCTGCTATAAGGAAATTTACCTACCCTTTGCTATATAAGAAAAAGCTAACCTAAAGTTAGGTGCAGTTGTCTGTCCCAGCAATTTCGATGCTGGCATCTTTCTTATTGAATAAACTTACTTCCTTACTCTCCTGATTTTAGGCTGAGTCTGTGAATTTTTTCACCTTTTGCAAATGCACAACAGTATCTGATGATGTTATTTTGTAATTATGCCTTAATTAAATCACTCCTCTCCCTTGATCAGATTTGCAAGATCAGATTTGCAAGTGACTTGTGGGCAGAAATGTAATCATTTGATGGTTAAATATCTCCCATTGGAATGCACAGTGACCTATAAACACCCTCAAAACATTACTATCTGACCAACTAGCTACTCTGTGCACCACTGAGCTAGTACTGTAAGTTACAGCTAAGATGGTAACAAAAATAACAGGATTAATAGTTTTAAGTCAATACTGTATTTCCTAAGTAAACCTAGTTTTTATCCAAACTCCACTTAATAAAGGATACAGAAAAATCATGTTAAATAAAAAATTGAATCCAACTGGACCAAAAAATAAGAAATTGGTGATTAGCCTCCATATCTGTTAAAAGAAAAACAATCAAGAGAAAGATTAAGTAAAATATACCAGAAAAACATTCCCGTATTAAGACAAAAGATATATCCTATGACTACAATGGCTGAAAAGCCATGGATAGATACTATGTTATGATCCAAAAAGTGGGGCAAACAATTTGACACTGGATTTTTGTGCTGCTTCTAGTTGAAAGTCTGAACGATAAAGTCAGCCCTGAAATTTGTAAGGATAACAGGACAGAAAACTTGAAATTGTGATTGTCTTTTTAAAAAGCCCACACCATATATATGGTCAGGCAAATTATGGAAAAAGTGTAATGAAAAGACTAGGTTAATTTGCATAATAGAAAACAGTGCTTTCATATACATAGTATCATAACCTAATCAATAGTTTTGAGATACCAGAGAAAAACTCCAGGGAGCTAATATAAATCGCAAAGAAGTATTTCTATATTAGGCAGTCCAAAATATCTAGAGCAAACAGTAATTCTCAAGTGAATACTACAGTTCTAGTCTGAACAAATAGCCAACTCTCTACAAACCTAATGCTCTAATAATTATAGCCCAATTGGTAGATATAAGGACACTCATTTTCTTGTTGGAAAACCATGATATAGACTTCCCTACCCAACCCTCCACACCCACAATAAAAACAACTACTCACAAAAGGAGAGCACTTACCATTTTAAAATGTTTTAACATATTCTATTATCTTAATCCAGTCACTGCCACTCCCTCCCCCATTTCACATACAAAGAAACTAAGAGACTTCAAAACTTTTAAAATGGCTTGCCGGAGGACACACTGCTTGTAAAGGAAGACTCTGAACTCATACCTAGAACTCCTAACTCCTAAAGCAAATACAAGAGTTTAACCCCAGGCAAAATCAAGCCAAGCAATGCTTAACTTGGAAGCAACGCTTAGATGGAGCTACAGCTCCCAGGAAAGGCCAAATGAGTATCAAAGGAAGAAGACAGTGACATGAGTACACAGGACTGCTTTATGCATCATTAAATTCTTAAGACTCAGTATAACTATTAAAGTTGAAATAATTCAGTTCTACATACTAACTTAACTGCATCCAGGATTTTAGAGTTCTCAACCTAGTGAAGAGACGAGTACATAAATAAGTGAAGTATGAGATAAGAGATGCTTTAAAAGGATTATTTACAGATATCCTAAGGACTCAAAGGAGAATGAATCTGAGGTTACACAAAAGCTGTGTCGTGAAAGGCCAGCTGGAATTCAATAGGTATGAAGTGAATGAAACACTTCTGAGACAGAGGGAATAGCACATTTAGAAGGCAGAATTACTGGCTGTTGGGTCTCTCTCCCACTCCAACTATAACCTATATGAACATCCTGGAGCAGGAAAATACATCTCTCTTTTAGCATTCTATTGACAATTGCTGGGACAACTATCTCCCACTGTAATCTAATAAATTAGCGTGTTGTTTTAGATATCGGTCTTTTGGAGTTTTGTTAGTATGATCTGATCCCTAGAAGATGGATCAATTTAAAAGCACTATACAGTTGAACTTTTGAACTGGAAAATGGTGATAATACCAAGGTGGTGGGTGTGCCACATGGGCCACGGACAAAATA